ACTGCTAATGAAAACAATGTTGTAAATATACAACATAAATTTTTCTCAGGACTTATGTCAGTAGTTCTCTATCATTAGAAAAAAACAAGATAACTAATGTTTACACAACAGTGCATTTTTAACATTCACATAAAAAAGTGTAGTGTTGATTAATAATAAGTAAATTATACTAAGTTCAAAGATTTCAAAGAGAAATAACAAATCAAATGTGTGTTTAACATTTCTGCAGAAAGCTACACAAGAATTATCTCCATAAAGTTTTCCTAAATTTTAACTGATTTACTTATTTAAATCCTTCCATTCCTAAAATTTTTATTTTATTCTTTTATTAAGTTTTCCCTTTGCTAGCAAAACTAGAAAATTGTGACATCAATTCTCTGTCACAATAGCAGCTTCAACAGTAGCCTCAGCTCCAATCAAAAAGTTGGTTCATAAAAGTAGCTTCAAGTTCTACCATGGATTAGTACACAATCTCAAAGTAAAACAGCCATGTACTTGGAACGAAACATGAGGTACAACAGAGCTGGAAAGAAGGATGTGACTGAGCCCAGGTCATAACAATTTTTTATTAAGTTCTTCAAGTAGTAACCCTTGGCAAAGTTGTACTGTCAGTCAAAATATACATCAGAGCTAAGTGTTATATATATGTAGGCGGGACTCAGCTGTGTTGATTAAATAAAAAATAGACTGTTCAATTTACTGTGGGATGGAGGGTGCATTTCTTTTACAGTTGCTGTTCATAAAGATTATAACAAACAATTAGCAACTTGTATATATCGTCATAAATACTTGTTGAAAAAATCAAATAGGTCTACCAGTCAACTTGAATTCTCTGTGCAAACTCCTATATATAACACCCCTGTTTTACATAATAGAATTGCCTCATTAAGAAAAAACAAACAACAGAGCTTGGTGAAAGTGTGAGTTTCTTCAGTTGTGGTAGGCATAATACATAATGTATATCAAATATTCCACCAAAACACAAGTCAGGTTGTTTTAAGAGGAAAGAAGAGAAAAGACATTTGGAAAATTCACAACAAAAAAGCAGAAAATGCTAAAACATTATATGGTGAATGGTTCAATAGTGGGCTAACAACAATGAAAGCAGTGCAGCAGGGGAACTGCCAACCTCCTAGCATGAAAAATCAACTGCAGTTGAGCTGAAGGAAAGACTGATTTTGGCAATGTACAACAGCAGCAAATACAAGGTACTGAATCGTGTGCTATAAATGTTGTATTCAGTCAGTCAGCTTTATGTGAATTTTATAATCTAACTACTTCACCAGACTTTTCTACAAAATAACTAAGATTTGAAACTGGGAAACAAAAACCTGTGCAGCTTAACCCTATGGCTATCGGGTCCTTATATTGTAAGGACCTAACAATGCTATTGTTATATTTCATTTCAAAAATAAAAGTACTGGATGAAATTGTTTGAAATTTAACAAGAACTTTTTTAAAAGTATGAAGTTTCAGAAAAATAAAACATTTAATTTTTTACTTTTTCTATTTCTTCTAAAAATTCGTTATTTAATGTAGTTATTTGCATTCAGACTCTGAACACTTCACCAGCAAGGCAATTTCCATGTTGAGTATAAAATTACTCTTTATTATCTTACAGTTTCTAAATTTATATCAAGTTTTTTATGATAAATGTTTATATTTTATTTTCCATATTCTCTACTATATCACTAACTCTAGTTATTATCATCAAAGTACAGAGCAATGAAATATTTAAAATTACGAAATGAAAATATGTACTTACCTTCATAGAATAGTCTTAAAATATTGTCTTTGATTCATATGCGTAGTTTCATGTTTTACTTTTCACTGATAATTTAATTTTAATATTTTATTTTTCTTTCCTGGTATTTACCATCAACGGGTTCCTGTGGACAATAGTCTGGTATGAGCAGTGGAGAAACTTTAGCCTCCAGCAAAATCGATTTGTACATGCTTTATGTTCTAAGACTTGTGGAGTGGATGTTAAATTAGAATATATTTAGAAAATTAGTGAACATTTCAAATATGAATTTTAAAACATAAATCTGTAGATTCTGTATTTTATTTTTGCTGTAAGCTGTTTGGTGAGGATAGGGAAGTGTTTACTTGAGGTTTCTCCAACTGGCAAAAATTATCACAAAAATTATTTCAACATAAAGCTTACCAGAATTACTACTAATGTAAAAACCTAGAAATCGAGTTACAAAATGAAACTACAATAGACATAAATTTTCAAGAAAAGCTAAACAAGGAAAGGGAACAATGGCTTTTTAGAATTCTGGACTGTGTTTTATATTTAGTATCACAAAATCTAGCCTTTTGTGGTTCAGAAGACCACCTGTACACAGTGAACAATGGAAATATTTTTAAACTGTTGAACTGTTATCTAAGTATGACTTTGTCATAGCTAATCATTTGCAATGTGTACAGCAAGGCACTAGTGTTCATTACTTAAGCAAAGATAACCAAAACGAATTTTTGAAGTTGTTTGCTGAGGCTGCGACAGGAAAGATTTGGGACAAAATACAGAAAGCCCAGGACTACAGTGCACTGATGGAGTGCACTACAGATATTTCTCACAAGGAGCAACATCAATAATGATTAGATATATTAAAATTACTGGAAGCCAAATTGATGCGCAGGAGAGATTTCTGGAGTTTCTGCATATTGAAAATACAATGGAGGAGTCTTTGGCTGATTTGCTACTAAACTGATATACTCAGCATGAAATAGAATTTGAAGACTGCAGAGGTCAGTGTTAAAACAACAGGGCTAACATGAGAGGACCCCACCAAGAAATTCAAGCAAGAATAGGATAGGTCAATGAACATGCAATGTATGTGCCCTGCTGTTCCCATAACTGGAATCTTGCATTGTAATATGCAGCAGAATCATTCATAGAAGCAAAGAATTTCTTTGGAGTACTGCAGCATCTCTGCAAGATCTTTTTAGGGTCCATTAAACATTGGGATATCCTCATTAAGCACCTGAAATGTTACACACTGAAGCACATTCTGAGACATGCTGGATTGCTTGTGCTGAAGCGTCAAAGGCAGTCTGTGAAAAACTGCCTGAATTATTAAATGCTTTGCTCAAAGTATTTGAAAGTAGCAACTGTGACGGTGAAACCCTGTCTGAGATCACAGGCTTTGTGAAAGCACTGGAATTGTTTTCCTTTATTTTAGGCCTGGTTGTGTCGAATGAAGTTCTTAGCACCAACAATCACGTGACAGTGATTTTACAGTCCCCCAATTTATATCTGACAAATTCAACAGATGTGGTATCAGCAATAATGAAACAATTGTTGGATTATTGAAAAAATAGCTTCAGCAAAGCAATGAAGAAAGCAAAGGTATTAGCTCAACAGCTGGACATTGATCCTACTTTTTCATCAAAAAACACCTGCCAGGAAAGCTTTCTGAGGATGAATCTTAAGTGCTCAGGAAAAAAATTGAAGTTGTTTTTTTTAATGGCCTATTAGATAATGTTCTGATGGAAATTTAGGAATGCTTCGATTTTTTGCATTTGAATTTTGGTTCTGTGTTCCATGTAAAAACATCTGGAAGTGACAAAAAACTCAAACAAGCAAGAGATGAGCTGGCTTGATTTCTTGGGGACATAGATGGCTCATACATGGCCCAAGAAATAGCTATACTTACTCATCTTTTACCTGATGATTTGATCTCTCGGTTTCAAGTGTTGCAGTACCTGGTACAGAAAGACTTGAGCATAGCATTCCCAAACATCCAAATTGGACTGCAAGTATTGCTTACAATTCCAATTACAGTTGCAAGCACTGAACCATCTTTCACTAAACTGTCTTTGATAAAGAACTACCTGTGCTCAACAGTGTCAGAGGAGAGACTGCCTGCATTGTCTATACTTTCAATTGCTACAGTCAAAGTTCATGTAATGTAATTAACAATTTTTAACTGAAACAAGTGAAATATTATAATGGTAGGCTGTTTGATATTTTGTAGTTTTATGGTGTTAAGGACAGTGTCATGTATAATATTCAATCCATGCTTTTATTATCTGGAACTGAAAAGAAGTGGTTTACACTTTTGAAATTATTTTCACAATCCTTGCCTGTTGTATGGTCCTTTGCTCATATCAGACCACTATGTAAGGGTTTTAAGTTTGTTAAAGAACAGTTAGGCTTTCCATAAAAAAGTCACTAATGTTAAAATGCATCAAAATGTTTCAATTTCATTATTCAGACATTTAATACACTTTTAATGTATTTATGAAATATTGCACTTGGTATCTCATTTAATATTTATTTCATTTAAAAGAAAATGACATATTCACTTGGTAATTTTATAATCATAAATTTAAATTTTTAAACTTTAACTTAAATTTTCAACATTTGGTTGGTAGTTTGCCAAATGTAACCTCTATTTCAAACTTTGTAATAAATAAAATCTAATAAAATTAACAGTTCGGATTCAATGAATAACAGTCTCTCTTTTGCATATATTTACAGTAAGAGCATAAAAACTTAAACACAAGAAAAGATACAAGCATCATAAAAATTCAATGTTGAATTTCTTTTTATGGGAAGAATGACTATGGCATAGTTTTGTTTGTTTTACTGTTTCTCATTTCATAAACACTGAAGGTTAATGGCAGAATACAATAAATACTAGGGGCCTATATATTTAACTCAAATACAGTAAAAACGTTACAAAATGTACAGTATGTTAGTAGATTGATGGGACTCATTCACTTTTAATATAACTTGCTTTATACACATATAAATTAACTTTTAACTGACCTTCTTGAACTTTTAACAGTATCCCATATATTGGCTCTTTTTGGAGAAGATATTTCTTCAAATATTTGACATATTTGCCATTTTTTTCTCCTCTGACTTCACATGAATAATGATTAGAACCGCTAAATATAAATATAATGACATAAAACATATGTTTTGTGTAAAAAAAATACACAGTTCAGTAGTTTTAGAATCACTGGGCTATATACATTCCACAGTACCCTAAATTAGTAGAAAAAAGATGCCTTTTGATCCACGTTTTTTTCTTTCACATGAAAAAAATGTATCTACTAATCTGACTGACCAATACAATTTTTTGCATGTCTATTTTTTACCTAGTAACATGAAGCATACAGTAGTTTAACTAGAAAACCATACTCATTTTTAACCTAAGAAACAACTTATACATATGACAAAGAAGACAAAAATAAAGTACATCTCAAGTTACAGGTATATAAGTAAGTACTACACAATATTTATGGTTATCATTTCAATATTTATTAAAATAGAGGCATACATGCAAATCTTACACCAAGTCTTAACTACTATTTGAAATCTTTGTTTTTTGAAAAATGATATACTAATTTTAAATAAAGTCTGCGATGCACAAAATAGGAATATATATAATCATCACACTCTTGTTTTAATCTACTGAAAAGCTATGGAGCTTACAAGCAGATATGGAATAAAAAACTTCCTCTATAAAAACCTAAATCTGAACATTCATTTACCCAATATGATCATATTTACATTAGATCTTGTTACCATTATATTATAACTTTTGTTTTGTTTGGATTGGTTGTAATATATTGCACTAGGTGTCACTGTTATGTTGATCTAATGCAAATGAGATTTATAGATACAGACAATTGATGTGGGAAATAGTAGTCCAAGAAAATTGTATGCAAGTCATGGATGGTTGTACAAGAAAGGAGTTAATTTAATCTTGAATATCATCGTCAGAAGATCATCACATTTGCAGTTGTACGAATCCAAAAGGACCATAAACCCAAGATCATTTGCTGCTATTATATCGAACTATTTTATTACTGTGTCAAAGTCAGCCGTGGTAACTGATAAAAGACTTATTTGTCAGACTTTGGTATAATAGATAATTGTTTAATCATTACATGGTTACGGTTTTAATCTTTTTTTTTATATTTGTTTCATTATTTTTCATATTTAAAAATTAATGCACTGCAATGCAAATTCTCTATTTATTGGTTGCTCTAAAAACATTTCTGTGCATACCAGAATTTCATTTCTTTATTCATTAAAATTTCAGTATGTAAGAGAAGTGTGCTTGGCAAATCTGGTCATAATCAACCCAAATTTGGAGTGCAGTTGACAAACTTAGCCATAATCATTGCAGATCTGAATTTATATATATATATATTTTTTTTTTCTTAATCCAGCTATACATATACAAGATTTAGAATATATAAGACAGATCTAGTCATATTCATTCTATATTCAAAATAATGTTTTTAAATAACTAAAATCACACAACTTTATCACAATTTTGATTTTTAAGCCTTATTTGTATTATCAACTTATTTTGACTAAAAAGTATAAAAAAGTTTAACAAAAGAATAATTTAAAATGCAAAGCAGCTGAACCAGAAATTGGAATAATTATAAAAGTATTTCAAAACCAAATATTCTAAATCAAGTTGAAAGAAGACAATGTATTTAAGGTTAATAGAAAAATCATGGTGTACTTACGTGGAAAATCCATAAATGGTATTTCTCATCCCTTCAGAGATGTATATTTTTTCAGGATTACTGTATCATATAATGGCAAGGAACACATAAAACTGTATCATAAATATTTCCATAGTATTTTTCTTTTGTCATACTTAACATTTTTCAAATGGGTTAAAAGTGAAGTGATCTTAACATACTTTCCAGTAAATTGAACAATATATTTTATAACAAATACAGTAAATTCAGAAACAAAACATTCATAGCATAATGATGAATCGATATCCATATCTTATTTTGATGTAATGTCACACAAACTACTGATAAACAGACCATGCTTTGCCAGCAATAAGTATTATATACCATAAAAAAAACTGCATTGTTTCAAGGAAAGTTATAAATGAATAAAAAGTCGTTTAACTTTATGAACACACTTAAACAGAAAAAAAAAACCTAAGGTTTGGTAAATAGGTAAGAAACTTCGTTACAAGTGTCCTGAATAGATGGTTCCTAATTTTTCAGGACAGTATAATAGAGGATAGATTCCCATGAAATTATATACATATATATATCTATACAATTGTTGGATGATCTGCTGTTTTCATTACAACAAACATTCACTTGAATATACCATTAAATAAAACTAATATTGATTTACTACATTTTAATAGCTAAAATGAGTAAAAAGGAATAGTATTACACCACAGTTTTTAAATTATATATATTAAACAATACCTACTGTTTCATAAGAACATTAACATGTAATATGCTGGCTTCAGAAAATTAGTTTTTAAATTCTGCATTTTTTAAGTTGGATTATTTCATTTATTTGTCAATTTGACTTATTTATATTATTATTTCTGTTATTTTACACACCTATTTGGCAGTTGGAAGCGGCATGTATCCAAAAGTAATACATTGAGAGCAGTGTTCTTTTCTACCATACATTCTGCAACAAATTGAGCACACAAGTTTTCACTGGGATTCATGTTACAAGATGAATCAACTGGTACAAGGAAGTTTTGTTTGTAGTGTTCAAATCCATGTCCTACATAGAAGAATAATCCTAGGAAAAATAGCAAATAATCAGTAAAGTTGAAGAAGTACTACAAAAATAATTATTTTTACACATTGTTGAAAACAGTATTTCACAATGTCAGAATTTAAAAATATAGATTCTCCTTTTTTGCCAGTTGTCAAAATAAAATACTTTTAGTTATATTTCTTAATAGTATAAATGTATATTGTGTTGTTGTTGGGCTTAGGATTCTTTTTCAGTAGGTGTCTGTAACTTATTAGCAATAAATTCAATGATGAATAAACAGCACACACTTCAGTTTTCAAAATAATATATATATTCATAACAAGTTAACGTATGTACAATAAGTTATTCAACACTATAAATATTATGGGCATATCATAAACACTATACATGTAGTTCTCTCTTTCTTGTCAAATATCCACTTAGGCCTATTCAATTACTTTAGAATTTCAGTCGACAAGTTGAACTATCTTCTCTATTTCTATTGCACTAGTACTCTCTGTAATTCACTTATAATTGTGGTGCAAGTTATCATAATTGTTTTGTCTTCTTTCTTCTGAAGATCCTCTGTTCCTTTTGTCAAAGTGCACTCACGCTGACATCAATACATTGCATGTGACGTTCAATATTCTCAACATCAATGAATTATTAACAAAACTTCCTACAGTCATCTGCTTTTAACTCTTATTATAGCAAAAACTGAAGAATAATAAAATATTCACGCACAAAAATAAATTAATCTCTAATATCTAAACCAAACAGTCTTTTATCATAATGCACACCACCATTACTAATTATACTGCTTCAACAAAAACTTAACGCTGCTTTCCGGGTCTAGCATATATAGGCACCATACCAAATCAGGGTTGTCTGCTGCCAAGGATTAATAAAAAGAAGTTATGCATAAAATCACTGAACAATCAATAGTGCAACAATAGTTGGTTAGAGAAAATTTATAGTAGCTTTTTCTATAATGCAACACTTTCGTAACATACTGTAGTTTTGTCAACTAAAACTACATTTCTAGTAAAGCTAAGCTGCCACTATTAATCTTTAATAACTTGGAAGAATCCTAAAAGCATTTATTCATTATTATATATCAAAATGATAAGATCATTATCTGTTTTTATAAGACTAATAAGAAATAAGCTAATTCAAATAAATTTATGTAAAGTAAACTTTACAGTTCTTTGCTAATAACATATGAGTGTATCTAAAAGCTAAATAAACAAATTATATCTTTTATGTTTCTTTTAAGTCCTGATAAAACTCTAGTAGTGAAATATTGGTAAATAAATGTTTTCTAGAGTAAGCAGTATTTTTTAGCTGTAGATAATGCCAAGCACTACATGATCTAAACAGAACAATTCAAATAATACATCAGCTTGAATAAGTATACCATACGTCTTCAGTATTTTTAATAATGAAGCTGAAAAACTGTTTTATTTCAGAAATTTAGTTTTTTTTGTATGGATTAACAGACAATCAAGGTCTTTTAATGGTTGAATAATTGAAGATAGTATTTTAAGTTTATGAAAATGTATAGAACATTAAATTGAAATGAAACATTTGAAAATCAAACATCTTATTCATACATGATTATTTTTTTAAATGAACCAAATCCAAAGTGCAACATTTTCCTTACCTAAAAATGTATTTCAGATACCTCTTCACAGAACAGATAGCTAATACTTTGTAACACTGCTGAAAAGTTTTTGCAAATGCCCCTAGCCTCTGAATGCAACTCCCATCCCTACATTCAATAAAGTACACTGTGACAGTCTATGATGCAATGAAGCATTAGATTATAGCCCTCCACAAATAACAGGGTGATACATCCTCAATGTGCAAACACTGCCCTTGAGCACTTAATGTATACTATTAGCTTATTCTCGATGATGCAAAAGAGACACACACAGAACAGACAGCTAGGATCCCACATTGAGAAGACTGTGGATGGACTTGTGTAGAAAAAGAAATAAAAAGAAAGTTCTTTTTGGAAAATATAGTGACAGTAACGGAAAACTTATGGAGTGTGTCTCCAACTATAGGGGAGGGGAGAACTAGATGAATACCATATCCAAACAGAGTCTCCTCTTCATTCAGTACAAATGATAATGCAGAAGGGATCTGTCAAAAGAACATCCTGCTTCATGCTAGTGTTACAAAGATGGGTCGAATGTGAAGGGTGGTCAAACATTTTGTATATCTCTGGAGGTGGCAGACCATGCACATTAAGTGTGGCTCAATATTTCAAACCATATAGTACACAAGAAATATGTGATATACTTACAAGAATATGCAGGTGCAGGGATGGTCTGGTCCTTAGCACTGGGGACAGTCTGGAGCCTCTAGAAAGATTGTAGAATGATGACTGGAGAGAGAGACGAAACCATGATGTGGTGTATGTAGTGTGACAAAGATGTCATGGGTCACCCACAATCGCACCTGCAAGATCTCATCTAGGGGACAGTAAGAGAAGCCATGAACTAACAAACTTAATGGGTGATGACATGAAAAAAATGAAAGCTATCATCTCTCATGAGGAACAGAAAAGCTGGACAAGTTGTTTAACTCAACTGGTCAAAACGGAAAGAAATAAGTCATGAAAAGAAGAATCTCATAGCAAAAAACGTGTGAGACAACCCTATGAACTTCCTTTAAAAACAAGAAATCTGCTGAAGCCCCATGGACAGAGATAATGGGAAACAAAAGTTATTAGAAATGACTGCTGATGAGCTGCCTCAGTTAGGGTTTCCATCATACAAGGAACTCCCTTAAAAGCCACATCTTAAAGGAAGGGTGCCAGTTAAAATTCCCTGAAATAAGTAAGACTACCTAACCAAGTAAATCCCAAAAACAAAGAAACCTAGTTAACTGAAACTCTGCACAAGAAGAAATCAAGGCCAAGATGGAGAACGGGTAGGTATGATTTTTCCTCAGTACAGTTGCTGGAGTCATGATGTGAAGCCTTAGAAAGAAGGTGAAATGTGAACAGACAGACAAGAGGCTGAGCAAAAAAAGACAAATGGGCTGAGAACAAGAAAGAGAGAGAGACAAAGTAGGTAAGGGAGATCCCCAAACTGGAAGAAACGACTCAAGGAATTGAAGCTTTATGTAAGGAGAAGAATCTTGATCTTATGCATAGAATAAAATTCTCAAGGCCTGAAAGAGATTATGACAATAAGGAGTCAACAAGATGAGACAAAAATGAAATTGGTATGAACACAAAAATATAACTGATGCAGTAAAGAGAAGATAATCAGAGAAAGAGGAACTGTAAAAAGAGAAAGAATGTCACATACCTGTCATATCAAAGCAGAAAAGGATGAAAGTTGGATTACTTGATCTTCATCAGGGAGACAGGAACCAAAAGGAAAAACAGGTGGTGGGAACAGCAGGTTAAAATCATCAAAACATGAGGCAGGCTCAGCAAAAACCAACAGAAGCAGAAGGTTGGGAAATCTGAATCCGAGACAAAGAAAGTCAAATGGAACAAACCACTTGGACCACAATATTTCTGTCTAAGTGCCTCCAGTTGCCAATGAAACAGTATAAGACTACTCCTGTTAAGGAGTATCTGGGTATTGGAATGTGTCAGACACATGTATATGCAAATTCATAGTTGAGACAATTCACAAAGCTTTTTTTTCTTCTTGAGTACAAATCAATAAAATGAGTTATAAAAATGATAAATGGAATTGGTAACTGAAAGTTAAATGTAATTTGAGTAATGCTAAAAAAATTGTAATTTTGAATAAAAAGTACCCGAGTGAACGCTGCAGTGCCAAGGAAAAGAATGCGCTCTTGATATACTGTATTTTTAAACATATAAGTTGATGTGAGGTATAAGTCAAATTTTTAATTTTATCAACCTTAATTCATATATAAGCCAAATTGGAGTATAAGACGAGGACAAATCAAATAAGGTACCACTGTGTTGTATACTGTATGCCAATGGAAGAAATATGGTGGGAAATGTGCAGAAATTTGATGATAACAAAAGTCAGTTAAATAACGGAGAATATGAAATAAAAATATAATGAGTTAAAATTATTTTATTTCGTTTATTACACACATGAAACAATAACCGAAAGACAGAATTTGTCTTGAATATTGTCCATCTAGCCTTATACCTGCGAGTTGCTTTCTTAGTTTTCTTCGTCGTGCATAGAGCATCTTTCTACTTGTGCCAGTTTTGAACACATTTTTTGCTCACACTGTACTTACAGTGAGTGACCATATTCCTGCCATTTTCTTCTACAAATTTCACGACATCCAGCTTGAATGCTTTTGTGTAGGACTTAGTGGGAGGCATTGTGAGGTAAGATGGGCTTTTTTAAGGGTGTGGGTTTGTTGTTGAATGGTTAATTAAGCATGCTGCATTGAGCAGATCATATGATAATCTTCACAGCTGAAAAAAAACAAAAAAAACCAAACATTTATCTTATGAAACACTGACAAATTTTGATGACTAATCCTTAGATAAGTCAAGGCTTGGGCAGACTGCGAAAAAAGTCTCGTCTTATATGCTGAAAAATGCAGTCCACAAAATGCTCAACAAGATTCCCATGCATGGAGGATGTGTCACCTTCTTATTGGACAGGTATAGTCTAATGTTGATTGTATCATAGTCTAGAACACGTTAAAAACAGTTTTTGATTGTGTCATGAGATATTAGCCGTCTGTTCTGTGAAGAGGTGAGTAGCATGTCCTGAAACCCTCTTTTTCAACTTATTAAACATATCAGTCAAATGAATTTTTTCAGTAAAATATAAGCTACTTTAATTACACCATCCCTTCTTGATGCTCACTACATGTCAGGTTCACTTTTGATAACAAGCACATACATGCTGATTATTTAATATCATTCATACATTTAATTTAACTGCCTATTGTTGAGGAAGTGAGAAGGATGCATTACTACTTTTTTTAGAATTTAGCTAGGTAAGTTTCATTTTTCATTCTTCTGAATACACTCACCATCAACCCGGACAATACAAATTTCATTACGTTATTTATAGAGGTATGATAATATTTTGGGAGTTTGAATGCCAACTTCAGAAAATAAAGTTTATTTATCACCCTCAGTTGTCCATTTGTTATGTATATCTGCTTGTTTTTTTATTGAGGAACAATTATTTTCCCATACCCAACTCAGCAGGTGAATGGTAGTTCCAGGTTTTGGACATTGTAAGCTTGAACAGCCATATATATTCCCAACCCTTTCAGTTCTATTTTTATTTACATTATTAGGTTTGTGAATAAAGGTTTTATTTGACAAAAGTGTTCATGTGTTCCCATTTCCAACTGGCAAACTACTAGATCGAATATCACCAAATCTTTAGGGTTCACAAGGGAGTGACATAGAGAGGAGTCACCATTCAGATCTGTCCTCCCCTATGCCTTACATGTGGGTTGAACAGGTACATCAGCTAGTAAAAGTTAAGTCTTGCTCATGGTGTATCCCAAACACAACTGTGTGATTTCATTTTGCAGTTATGCAGATATCTCTCTTATTAAGGCATATTTTTTCTCTTCCATATTGTTGTATCTTCATTTTGCCTTTTTATGTTTGATGATTTGTTTTGTTTTTGGTCTGGTTTTTTGAAAAAATTAAAAAATATCATCCAAGGTAAGGAAGTGTTGTTGTATTACATTTTCATTTCTTTATCAGTTGAAGTTAACATAACTGTGATTATCTTTATTACAATATATATGTATCAGTGTGCATAGGCTTCCAAAAATTTTTCAATATTATACACCTACCAAAAGGTCATGATGTTATTTATGTAGTCCTTTGTGTGAATATTGAACAAAAACATAATGATATTACATATAATGTGTACATTATTTTTTCTAATATTTGACAATGTAAATGTTACCAAGTCAAGAATATATAATAGTAGTTGTTGTTACAAAATATTTATATACAGGGAGGGGCAAAAGTTATTATACAGTTGGTGTAGTTGGTTTTATCTGGTTGTCCCTAAATTAACCATTAAGAATACAAGTGAAACCAACTTAATTATTGTTTGTTTCTGAGTAAGATGTTAGAAATTAAACTATGTTATAAGTAAAACAATTGCATATTCACTTTTGCCCCAATCTGTATATACAGTTGTTAATTTGTCTGTATTCTGTTACAAGTAAATATGAGGAATTAGCTGAAATGTGGTAGAGGAACTCTGGCGGACTCTCCAAAGACAGAGTTTAGACAGGTAAGTAGCTAGATAAACATTCTTAAATTAGTACTCATTTAAATTTTACCAATTTACTGTTGAAAATAAGGCTTCATGTGTTAAAGCACAAAATAACAGAAGGAGTAGCCTATGCTCCATTTATACAATTATGTTTCAAACCCAGCATTGCAGGGTAACTTTGTTTGTATACACAACATTACAAAAAAAATATTACTAATAATTAATTTATAAAATAATAAATATACAGTCTATTAGTAAATATAAACACAAAGAATTAGTACTCTTATCATTCCAAATAAACTGTTACTTTTTATTTGATAATTCTATAACATTATATTTTAAAAGGTTTATAACATAAAAAAGGACAACTTACCATACACACCCTTACGTAATTGACTGCAAAACAAAGATACAGCATTTTTCATCTCATCCAGTGTTAGGTTTTGGAATGCAAAAATACGGAAACCGGCCTTGGTCAGGAGATCTGACATTTCTCGTACATCAGCTATACTAGCTGGAACAGGTTTCCAAATGTTATCCATATAGTTTGCATTAGCAATAAGAAGTGCTATCTTGTCAACAGCTTCAAAAGAGAGACAAAATACATATATATCAGAATGAGCTTTGTATTAGCTAGAGATCTATTGTAAATTATAAAAAGACTATGTACACTTTTGAATATCTGATTTATTTTTAATAAAAATTAATAAAGGTGCTTGAAATTTTCATCCTGAATGGCACCTTATGGACTAGAAAGCTAAGCCAGATCCTTTAAGCCTAGTTCAAGGTCCAGACATAGATTTAACAATTTTGAACAGCTGACCAGAGGGAAGAAAATCAGTCAGAAGTACTCACCACTGGAGCAGACACTTTTAACAAAACTGAACAACTGACTGTTATTTTTATGATGTTCTCATAGCTTAAATTTATTGAATCTTGGACCTTTCAATCTGCAGCCTGGCTTACTAACCACTAGGCCATATTTGGCTCAAACTTATTAAGAGAGACAGAAATACAAATACATAAACAATTCAGATCACTTAGGGGCAGAACCCTAATAACTCAAAAACTGAGAAGACTGAACTTAAGAAATATATGGTATCTAAACATTATGAAGATAAACTAAACTACTGGTCCTGAAATGAAGACAAATTAAGCTAACTTTAAGATTCATTTAAAAAGCAAATCAAATTTTGTTATTCACTTTAAACTTTTACTCCCTTAGCAGTAAATCATCTTTGAAATGTATGCTCTTCAATTTCAAATTTTCATTTAATTAACTAGCAAGTATTCTGAAAAATACAGAAGCTTAAACATTACTTGAAATGATACTTCATAAATATGCATAAATTTTACAACAAAAAATATTTTATGTTCCAGTGACTTTTAAATACTCTATTATTTAAGTTTATCACCCTTTTATTTTCCATGAAACAAAACAGAGGATAATCTTTATGCCAAATTATCTTATCTTCCCATCCTTTTTCACTATAAAGAAATGTTAGTGATTTATGGCTTTTATAAATAAATTAGTTCTTAGGCTCATCCTGTTCAGTCTTGAAGAGGAAGGTCAAGTCTGCAGTAGCTATACACAAGGACATAAAAGTATGGAAGTAAAATAAAAAATCAGCATAAAGTTTCTGTGAAATTAAAATAAAGTATCTGTGAACCTTGTAAAAACATATGTTTTGCTTCTTCAACTCATTTTCAAACAAATAAAATTTTCAGGTCACAAACTATTTTTATACATGTTCTTGTAGCACTTACTACAAATGAAATTACCATCCTTTCATATATGAACTTTATCAGTTAGCAACTTCTTTAGTATAGATTGCTGTAGAGATAAGTGGATTTTGATAGTCAATTAACTGTCCAGCTCATTAACTGATTACATTGAACTATTCTATGATTTCCACAAGACTTGGATAATTGATATAATGGAAAATAGTAAAAATCAGAAAAACTAATTTAATTAGTTGATTATTTTCATGATATTAATTAAATTAATCATAACTTCAATCAAGTTATTTTATATGACACTAATCAATGTAATAAATGCTTATAGGTAATCAATTAATCAAGTTAGTTACCCAGCTCTATAGTTAGTATAGTCATAACTTAAAAAACTTAATCCTTTGCCTTTAAAGTAGGCTAGATAAATTTTATTTACAAAGCTCTAAATTTTGAATAATAGTCTGCTTCACTTAACCTGAAAAGCCACAAGAGTCTCTCTCTATATATATATATATTTATATTAGAAAAGCAGTAAATTGTTGGAAAGTAAATCTATTCACCTTCCTTCAGGTAGTGCATCTATGATTAACATCTTTATACATCTCATCAAAGCCTAAACTCTGCAGTGTCAGATATATGTAGAAAGAATGAGAGACTTTTACTTATCGTGTTCTTCACTTCTTGAAAATAATCTACTAGAATTATTTTCAAAAATGAACTTTTAATAACAGATAGCCTTGTCTGTGTTATCCAACAATATCTGAATCATCAAGTGTTAACAAATCATAGTAGTAACTGCAAAAATGTACCATAATACTGTCATTAGAAAAAAAAACAATAGCTTACCATAATAAGGTGTATCATCATTAGGACTATCAAGCTCAACTACTACTTCTTTTGAAAGAACAGAACCACAATCATTGCTAACTTGACACTGATATGTCCATTTATGTACTCCATCTTTTGGATAAATGTTGCGAAGTTCTAGATCTGATCGTGTTTCCCCTGTCAGCATGAGAATAAATTAAAAGTGAATCAGCTAAGACATTCCAATTCAGTATAGAGGACCAAAAGTGCTATAGTTTTTTCTAATAAGTAACAAATATTAAACAAAAATATATCCCAAACATTTGAAAAGTATCAGAAAAAATAATTCATTAAAGACATTAAACCAACTGGAGTAGTTTCACATTTTACTTAGAAATAAAAGTAACATCAGAAAATAACCAGATCTCCACTAGAAATAGCTAACAAAGTAAAAAAGAGCACAAAAACATTATTATTGAGCAAAGTATATCAATGAAACAAATTTATATTGTTTAAAGAAACATTTCTTCCACAATTGTCAAGTAGCTTAATGAACAATGCATAATTACTGGATTCCTCTTAGCCGAATTGCTGTAAAAATTGCACTTTGTCTTTAATTTTACTTCTTCTACAATCATTTCATGAAAAGTTAAAACTGATTTTTCAGGTTAAATCTTTGAAACATAACCGCTGTTTTAAAGCATTACTATTTCTTAAAAATATAAACACTGCTAATGATTAAGTTTCAGTATAATGCAGATTGAAAAGTTAACTTAATAGGTATCTCTACAAGTGTGGATGACTGTTGAGGCAGATATTTGGCATTAGTGAGGACTGAATGCTAACATTTTTATGTTCCACAAGTAAGGTATACTCTTTCCATCTTTAATATATCTAGTTTTATTACTTTTTTTAATATTATAATTTCATTACAAATATTGTTCACATTGTTAGTATATGTATTTACTAAAATCTCCTATGCTGGCTGAGCCTTGTGAGACATTACTGGGTTTATGGCCAAAAATAGTTAATAGTGAGGACACCCATGAATGCAACAATGAATTCTAATCTTTATAAGAGGTATGTAAGAAAAATATATATATTGGCTACAGTGATGGCCAAGTTGATTTTTCAGTTTAGCCCTAGATACACAACTTACTCCAATCAAAAGTTGTTATTGTTATTAAATGTTTGGAAGATACTTCAAAAAACAAAAAGTCACTTACATGAATGATTAAGTCATTTACGTAACCTTTTTATTCCATACTATATGTATTCCTGTGTTTAGGTAAACTACTCATACCTGATGAAACATTGTAGATTTGTTAATATGTTAAACTTGTAATAAAACTTTCTTTGTTCCTTGTCATCATATTTGTACATATAGGCTTTCTATATAATGATATATATTTGAATCTTCTCACCTGACATTATAGCTCGATTACGGTACCACTGGTAGTGCACTGGTAACTTACTGGAAGCTGTACAGTTTAATAAAAGACTACTTCCTTGAGAAGTCTTACCATTACTAGGATTTATTGGATGTGCAATGATTTCTGGAAGTTCTAGAATAAAACAATCATATTCAATAGTAACTCATTATATTTGTATTCATAAAAGTATAGCATATATTATTGTCTGAATTCATTCTCAAGTTTGGAAAATAAAAATGAAAAAACAAAATCTCAACTAAAAATTCTTTCTAAAATGAATTTTTGACAGACTTTCTCAAACAAATGGCTGACTGGATGATAAAAACAAAGAAAGGTTAAACAGCTTACTGAAATGGCAGAAAATAAACTATAAACAACCTGTTCTTTGCTTTTGATATAATAAAGGAAGGCTTTTGCTGTGGACATCAAATACTGAGGGTCAACTGCACTTTATAAAAATTATGTTCTGCATCCCTTGATGCCTTTGAAATTAATTTCTTTATTGTTGACCATACTCACTTTGACAGTCATGATTGTGTCCTACTGCCTGAAACTGCAATTTCCATTGTAACAAGCTCATGCAAGGTCAATCTAATAACAGTCAATCTAATTGACAGTCATGATTGTGTCCTACTGCCTGAAACTGCAATTTCCACTGTAACAAGCTCATGCAAGGTCAATCTTAGTCCCACATCACAGACCTTATGCTATGCATTAAAAATGATTTTAAAGATCGCATTTAAGTAGACCATGGCATAAATGTTTATAGGAGCTGCATTGAGAGATTTGACAGGTATGTGGTCAAATGCTATAATTCCAGTTTTTATTACCATGTTTCTTATAAAAACCACCACTGATAGTGAGGTGAGGCTAATGAGTATGCATTACCTTTAAATCTTTATCATCTTCTTAAGAGGATCAGAAGATATGGCAGGTTTCATTACCATAATCTTTTTGGATCAGAGGATTCTAATCGTAACCACAGCCTTCAGTTTGCAAGTAAAAGGTTGCTCAGGATTGATTACAATGGCTCTTGAGGTCCTAAACATTCTGATATGCAAATTTACTCATGTTTCCATGGGGAAACACTGAATGCTCCTTGCTTTGAATGTTATGTCATTTTGTTTTACACCATTTAAAAATCTTGCTATACGAAAATTGATAGAATCAGATACTCACAGGTAATCAGTTATATCAAGTAAAGGAGTTAATTGCTCAGTTCTAGGTGTTAAGCACCTACATATTTGGTTCACTCAGAATTTATGACCATTCATCACGCAATGCCATCACAGGTAAAAGTATGAGTGGCAGAATGTTATAGTCCTTTTCATGGAAAGATAAGTGTCAGGTAAAATAATTAATTGATAGAAATTTGTTACTAAACCAATTAATGTAATGAAAATAAATACCAACTAATCAAAATTATTTCTTTCGATTATCATTGTTATCAATTATTACAACTATCCAAGTTTCATGTGAGAATAATTGATTAATAAGAGTGACAATTAATCAGTTAGCAAGTTTTACTAATTGCTCAGCTCTATTATCACTTTACCTGTGATTCCACAGCTTGCATTTGACTGACTTTCTGCATTCTGCTGATATTAATGCAGTAAAATCAGAAACAGGTGCAGCTAGAGTATAGATGCATGAAAAAAAAAGTGAGAGTACCAAAACCATCTCAGGAAATTGTAAAACTGACATGGTTTAAAAATGCTTTGAATTTTGGTACAGCCTACTCCTTTTTAAGTTATGTGGCATTTTGCATTCCATTCTGGTTATTTCAAATTCTCACAGGTATGCATGCATTCAGACTGGTAATATAATTCAAACTGCATTTAAGTTGGCTCATCCTTCATGTACAATCTACTTGAAATAATTTCCATTCAACAATTGTAAAAGCAACAATTTAGAAAATCTCACACGTTACAAAACTTTTAATTTACTTTATATTTGTGTATACGACTGGTTTAACAAGTGTTATTTGCTTTTAAAAAAAAGAAATCCATGAATGTTTAATACCTTTATCAAAGTTAACATTTTCCTATACTGAAAATCTATTGCTGATAGATAACTCTGCACATAGAAATGGTATTTCCCTCTCGCATCTGCCTATGAGATTTGCAAACAACTAGCCTTGAGCTAAGTTTCACCTAACTTCACATGTTTAACTTAAACTATGCTGGTGCATGATGATATCATCATGCGATAAAACCCCTCCACTAATAGGAAAGCAACAAAACTTCTCTGCACAGTAACTTTCCCTATACACTTGCAATCTTGATAACTTCATTCTTATATGAGGCAAGGAGAAAAAGGGTGCATCAGAAGTGGAGAGGTCAGGTGGGAAGGTGAGTAGCTATTGAAAATACATTTTCAGTATAGGAAAATGTTAATTTCCAAGAAAATAACTTATCTCTTCACAGAGAAATTCTAGAATCTCACACTGAAGTGGTGGAAGGGCTGGTGTAAAAACTTATCAAGATAATATCCCTTTAAATAGTGCCTGAAGGGAAGCCCATGGAGTGTGACACCTGATGGCAGAGAAATAATAAGGACACACACCTGTGGGAGACTGCATTTCATCTCAATCAGGGTATATATTTTGCCCAAGATGAAAAGGAAGTAAGATGAAAGAGCCTGAAGTTTCACAGTGATGGGTGTAATGGGAACATGAACTACCAAGTACTCGCATACAAGTGGTTGGCAAACCAACATATGTAGTGTGGTTAGGGCAAAATTAGACCATATAATGTGTGTTCACCTTGACACTACTCAACAGACTATGGCTGCAGAAGGAAGGGGTGACCCATACTATACTCATAGTGTCACCACTGCTTTACTTCTCACAGTATTGTGCTAAGCTCAACTGTTGAGGACTCTCCATGGTCCACCACCCCAGCAGCTAAGAACTGGTAAGTGGCAAGGGTCTCTGATGCTCCACTTGAAGAAGGGGGGGATTTGCATTGGAGACCCAGAGAAGCTCCCAGATCCCCTTCAGACCACCAGGTTTCTGACTGGAGACAATGCAATGGGTGACTGCAAAGCCTTACTTCTATAAGCCAGCAAGTGCAAGCCAAAGAAGTGGGCAGTCACTTTCCTGGTGTGGCCTTTTTCATGAAAGTCCCTGGAATTGGTACAATTTGAAACAGACAACTTAGTCAATTTGTATACCAAGAGGGTATGTCAATTGTTATTGCAAAACACTCCATCTCACAGTGAGCACAGTTAGAGTAAGTGCAGATGGACTGAGCACTTTCAGTTATCCTGGCTTGATGCAATTTTGGAAATAAGCATACCCTGGGAGGCAACACCAGCTACCTGGTGTGATCCTGACTGATAGAAGGGAGGGAAAGAAAAAAGAGAACATACTTACCCATCTCAGAGATGGTGGGTTGATTGAAGAATAGTGAACTGAGGAAATTGAAATCCTGCAGGAGACAAAACAGCCAGATGATGAAGATAATGAGTGACGAACGTGTGGAAAGTTGTCCACATGCCTACATGGAGAATCTTAACAAAGGGCCTGCAAAGGTGGGAAGCAAGAGAGTGAGATAGGTGACAAATCTGATGCAAAGCAATGTGAAATAGCCTGAGAGCATCCACATTCAGAAAAGAATATACCAACTGGAGGAGTTGACAGACCCATTAAGTAAGGGTAGAAGGAGAGAGGTCCCTCGAAGAAGAAGGGTTTAAGGATGTGAACAAATAAATGGTAAGGATGCTGAAAGGTAGAAGTCTGTAGTAAGTAACATGGAACGACTCAAAGAGGACACAGAAGCTGATCTGCGTCTGAATAATCTATAGGTGAGAGATAGAAGGAAGGGAGATAGGAGAGAAAATATGGTTACCTTCCAAGCAGCAGACATCTTAGGAAGAGAAGATTGGTCTGTAGAGAAGTATACAAGTGCAGTGGAAAAGGATACCAATATCACATACATCTTAACGAAGGTGAGGAGGAGGAAATAAGTTTTCAGAGAAAGGTGGTACAAAGAGCAAGAAGCCAATGACTCAAATTATGCACGTGTGCAAAACCACATTAAGATTCCAGTCAAGATGAAGGAGCAAAACAGAATGGAGAGGAGAGGGGATGAAAACAGGAAGAGCCTGATAACCAGCAATGGTGGAGATCGACAAACCATAATCAAAAAGCCAGATTAAAAAAATAAAAAAGACAGAAAGATGGTTCAAAATAAGATAACCAGGAGAAAAGAAGTGGCAGATGGACCAATGACAAAAGACCTACCACTTTTGTTGATAGACAAATATAGAAGAAGGGCAACAGAAGTTTAACAAGAAGAGTTTCTACATGTTCAGAGTTCTGCCCAATGTGGAACAGACCAAACAAATCCCACACATAAAGATAGAGAGGTGATATCACTTGATGAAAAAAAAAGGATGTGTGAGGTTGAAGCAATAGATATGGGACATTGGGTAGAGAAAGGTTGGGTCCGGACACTAATAAAAAAAACAAAAAGCCAAGGCCGAGATGGCCAAAGAGATGCCACCAGTAGGACTTGACAAGGAATGTCATGTATCAAAGTGAGAAACTGAGGGAGGAGGTAAAGAGGAGGAGAGTCATAGAGAAAAATGTGAGACCAGACCAGGCTGAGAGCATTGGCAGTCAGAGCCAAAGGATGATGAACAGGAGACCATAAGAAAGGAAGCTTGAAATTGAGAGAGGTGACAAAGGCATCTATGAAAGGTGTAAAGACCACTCCTTTGGTAGAATATGGTCTAGCCACAATAGGCAGTCTGCCATCAGCATATGACTGGAAACAAGAAGAACCCAAAGTGAATGGGCCTAGAAGAGTAGGTCGAATGCCCAAAACCAAAGGGGCCTGAAATTGGTGCTCCCTTGACAGTTGATGTAAGGAACAATTGTGGAATTGTCGGAATAGATCATGACAAAGTGCTTCAGCAGTAAGGGCAGGAAATGGGAGCATACCTGACAAACAGCAAGAAGTTCAAGCTCATTGATATGGAGTGAATGCATGTCCTGCTTCCAAATGCCAGAAGTCATGTTGTCATTAAGAGAAGGGCCCCAACCTGAAAGGGAAGCATTGGTGAAGAGATAGCGGTCCAGTCTGGGGGTGTTAAGGGAATGATGGAGGTAGTATTAGCATGGCCCAGCCACCATAACAGTTCTTTGAGTAGAGGAGAGGGGAGGTTCACAATCAAGGCCAATGGAACATGAGAGAGAGTATTCCTTGGATCAGCAAATTTTACTGGAAGAAGTGTAAGTGTATGCACCCTAAAGGGGTTCCAGGAAAACCAGAATTCCCTAAAATGAAAGAACCACTCATGTAGGATGAGAATGAAAAGATCAAATCCTGATGACCAGGTATTCTATAGCTCACAGGCAAAGAGGAGAAGGCTGAGTTTGGATGAGACAAGAAATGAAAAAAATGTACAGAACTACCAAATACTGAGTAGGCACGAGAAAGGACATGAATATCTTGACCATCCCAAGCAAGTAGCTTCCTAGAAAAGAAAGGATGTATGAGATAAAGATACCACCCAAGAATGGTCCAATAGAAGTTAACAATTCAAGAAAAAAAAAGATAGCCCCAGGCCCTGAAGATGGTAAGTGAAGGCCCTCACAAAACAAATGAATGCAAAAGAGGCTGAAGCTAAGTCAAAGAGAAGGGCAGAGAATGGGAAAACATGAACCTGATAGATGGAACATACAAATGTATGAAGGATGGGTCAATAGGGATGTGTAGGAAGGTGTCCAACACATCGACTACGGCCAACTGCAAACCTGGTGAAAAAGACTATAGATGGGGTCAGGAGAAGAAGAAAAGGATATGGGAGGAGGAGCAAAGAGAAGAGAAATGGAGAGAGAGAGAGAGACCATAGGTGATAAAATTAAAAATGACTGTCAGCACAAAATGAGACCAACTGCAGGCGAAGAGGAAGAGACGATTACTCTTAGGGCTGGTAAGTGGCAGGATAGTTACTAACAAGAAGAGTGATAAACCAGACATCAGGTAGTGAGAAGATCAGAAAAAGAGGAAGGCCTGGAACCTGGAATGGGAAGTTAGGGGTAGACCAATACAGGACAAGAACAGGACTCAAAGGGCAAGGTCGAGAAAGAGGAAAAACTTGGGATGATAATGAGCACTGAAGTCATACAACTTCAGTCCAAACCTCCAGTGAGAAATTAACACCACCAAAAAAATCCAGGTAATGAAAAGGAGTACAATGAAGACCATGTATACAAGAAGGAGGAAAGTGTACAGTAAAGAGGAATACAACTCGACCCAACAGTAGTGGAACAAAGTAAGGAGGGATAGAGCAGAAGAAGAAGTGGAAAAGGCTAAGCTGGAAAACAGAAGGGAACAAACTTCTGTAGAAAAACCCCTCTGGAGCATGAAGAACTGCTTCAGACAAAGGTTAGAGGGAATAGAGAAGGGTGGTGAGAAAAAGACAAAGACTTGAAAGTGAGAACCAGAGAGCAAAATAGAAAACAAGTAGCCTGATCCACACTTAGACCAAATAGATAACAAAGAAAGGGAATCTAGAAAGGAAGAATGTCTACAAGTCAGGACAAAAAAGAGTCACAAATGCAAGGGGGACGAGGCATTTCAGTGTTAGATAGAAATTGCTAGAGAAGAAAACAGCATAAACCCTAATAACAAGCAAGGAGGAAAGTCAAGGTAAACCCCAAGAATGGGGTTTATGGAGTGAAGAATGAGCAATATTAAAGGACACAGGCAAAAGATAAGGAAAGGAACAAGCCAAAAAATGAAGTCTAGAAAGAGATTGGAAGGTTAAGGTCATTCCTCAAATGGTAAGGCACTACCCATAGCATATCAGGTTAAATATGTAGTTCAATGGACCATTCCTGAGTGAAGAGAAAGAATGTTAGCTGACAGAACAGAAGTAGGAGGCCCAGTAAGCATATGGTAATCCACAACACATTGAACAAAGGCTGCAATGTTCCCAATAGTTAACGAGATTCCAGAAGCTATAGTAGAAATAAGACCTGTGTGTATAACATCATCAATCACATAGAACTAAGTACAAGTCACTATCATTTGAGAAATCATGATAAAAAAATCAAAGCTTTTGAAAAAAGCTAAGTAAAACCAAAATTTCGTTAACTAATGCAATCTCATCAAATTGAACTTAAACAAGAAAACTGAACTGTCTGTTCAATGCAGTGTCAAGGGAAAGAATGAAATTATCTCAAGTTCAAGTGTATAGGAGATTTACTGTGCATCAAGGTTGTGTCAATTTCTTACTGATGGAAGGCTATTATTGCATGAGGACATCATCATGCACCACTGAAGTTCACATTAAACATTAATTTAGGTGGGAGTTAGCTCAAGGCTAGTAATATGCAAGTCTCATAGGTAGATGCATGAGGAATTTAAAATTATTTTAATACATGATATATACAATAATTTTATGAAACACAATTGTTTTATTACTAATTCCATGTCCTGATAAATTGACTACTATAGCAATACTGCAACATTTATCCTTTGGACCAGAAAGAAGGAAGACAATTTTTTAAGTAAAGACAAACATGTATAAAATATTTATATACTTAGAATCACTAAATTTCAGTCTGAAATGATTTTTCACTAGTATTATAAATGAAACAATTACCAAATACTTAATCTAATATTACAAATTTTGACATGAAAAATATAAATATGCTACCTTAGTTATGAACTATTACTAAATTTCAAAAAAGTCCTTCAGGGACAATCTCACCAAAGAAGTAAAATGACTGATGTTTTGGTTTAACTTTGACTTCTACAGGTGTTGAAATCACCTTATTAAAACCTTCAGTTTGTCTATTGTAATTGAAGACTTGACAGAAATAACTTCCTTTGTGCTCTATTCTACAAAACAAAAACAAAATTGTAGTATTACTCACTGAAACTCTTGTACGAAATTCTGAAATGTATAAATTTTCAAAAATCATAAAGAGGAAAAACCAATGAGACTCATAGTAACAGCTAATGATTCTCTGTAAGAGTAGGTTTCTTGGATCCTACAAAGGATGTTACAACTTTTCCTCCACATACATTTCCCATGGATCTGGTAAGTACCTACAGCTTAGAGACTAAACACTAACTCTTACATTTCACAATTTTTATGCTAAATTCTTATATCATTACACTTCTGATGAGAAAATAAACAGTGCTATTGTTTCATTGTGATAATCTATATGCGGATGACTTAAGAGCCTGTTTTTTATTTTTAAAAACAGTTCTTTTAAGTATTATTTTTTTAGTCCCACTATTGGTTAAAATCATGGAATTATACACTTTTGAATATTTTCAACAATTATTTTCAAACCACATACTTAACTAGAGCCCTCTAGTGGTAGACTATTGTTTTCAGTGGAATCATGTTAGAGATAACCTCGGCCCGGCATGGCCAGGTGGTTATGACACTCGACTCGCAATCTGAGGGTCGCGGGTTCAAATCCCCATCA